GGGTTCAAGCCTTATTGCATTGCAGTGTAGATGCAGCCTAGGGTTACCATACGTCCTCTTTTTCCCGGACATGTTCGGCTTTTTGGCAATTCCCCCCGGACAGGGGTTTGACTGCCGAAAAGCCGGACATGTCCGGGAAAAAGAGGACGTATGGTAACCCTAGGCTGCATCTACACTGCAATGCAATAAGGCTTGAACCCTGGTTTAACTCACACACTCCATCCCTGGGGGGTCTTAAGACTCTGGGTCCGTATGATTTGTGGGATTAAGCTTGAGTTTGAGTCCTGAGTTTATACTGCAGTGTAGGCAGAGTGAGGGCAGAAAACGATGTACTTCTGCCATTGAGTGCCTGCAAGCCTTACAGTTTAAGAACTGTCCTGAAGTGCCCCGCTCTTACGTGATCACATTGACTATTTGGCAACATCGAAGAGCATGCCTGCATTCACCCCAGGTATGTTTTACTGCAGGCACAAAAATGTGCATCTTATGACCCTGCAACTGCAAGCCAGCAGCCAGAGATTCCGCAACTCTGAGAAAACAAACAAAGACCCTTTGAACTCTGACTCCTTTCCTTTTGGAGTTGTAATGTTATAGCAGAACAACCGAGCAACTCAATTTACCTCCACATTATGTCCTAAATTAAAACCAATGCAGCTGCACCGGTGCCACGTAGGGCAGAATCTGGGTTGTGGAAGTGTTAGAACCCGCAGTGCAGCGTCGGGAGGAAATGGTTGAGTTGGTAAAGCTAGTGAATTGAGCGTACCAGGTACGACATCACTGAGAGACAAACCTGCAAATCCACAAGGCTGATTTTACGGTCGCTTTGCCGAGCACTTCAACAGCACTTAAAGGGGCATTAAGGCGGCGTGTGCATGTCAGGAATTTAAGAGTTCTAAGAAAAATATCGTAGCAATCAAAACGCAGCTGAGAGAAACCAGGAAATTCGGAATTAATAAGTCTTAAGTGCACACCCCAGATATTGCAAGGTCACTGTGGGAAAATTGCCTGGTCACCCCCTAGGTTATTTAATTCCCTGTCACACTGTGTGGATTCTTCAGCCACGTCCCCTATGCTAGGGATCCTCAGTTAGGTCAGCTAAACATGTTGCGATCTTAAAGGGCGCCCAGGCAAATACCTGGGGATCGTTAGTCATTACATGGGCCATGGGATCTACAGCTTCCACTTGGACAATGAGAAACTCGGTTTAATGCTTCACCCAAAGCACTGTGCTCGTAACAGTGCAGAAACTCCCTGCACTCTGGAGCCTCTCTTGGGTGTAAACCCAGGCTCCCATGTGGGACTTCAATCCACTCGCCCAGAGGTGAGGGCGCAGCGCTCCCCATTCGGTCACATAAAAGGACTCAGATTTAATTAACATCCAGAAGATATATCCTTTCCCCAATTCAGTAAACCCGCACGTGCAATGGCATCTCATGTCCTGCATGAACGGCATGTAAACTTTGCATCAGACATGGCGGAGAATAGGTACGCATGAGGCTTGGACCAGTGCAGGATATACATGAAAATAAGCCCAACAAAGCTGGGGTGAGATGACTTTCTCCAGGTGGGCACTCACATAGATAAGGTGCTCTCGGTAACGGATGAGCAGGTTCCGCAGAATCCCAGCTTCATTCAGGTCCCCCAGGCGGATCATGTCCTCCACCCCGTGGATAGAGGTCGGGTGCATGGGTTTGATGTGGCTGGCATTGTGAGGGAAAATCCAATGCTCCTGGAAACAAAAAGGGGAAAGAGGTCAAATGTGAGCCTACCACGATATACACCCTAGCCAGATTCGGAAAGGACAGGATGAAAGGATTATGCAGTACAAGTGGCATGACAGCCATTAACTTTAAAGGATCATAGTGAAAAGGAAATGATCTCAGATCCCTGCAAGACCAGGATATAGCTGTGTTTTAAGGCTCCTAGGCTCAGGGGCAGCCAGGCGGCTCTGTGTACTGCCCCGCCTGCAGCTCCCATTGGCCGCAGTCCCCAGCCAATGGGAGCTGCGGAGTTGGCGCTCAGGGTGGGGGCAGCGTGCAGAGACCCCCTGGCCACACCTTGCATCTAGGAGCCAGAGGGACGTGCCAGTCACTTCTGGGAGCCACACGGAGCCAGGGCAGGTGGGAAGCCTGCCTTAGCCCCGCTGTGCCATCGACTGGACTGTTGCCTGTTAAAATCTCCCCGATTGCCTTTAATAGTCACTGAGAGATGGAGGCTGATTCTGGGAGATTCCCAGCCAACCCGGGAGGGTTGGCAACCCTATTTGTAACAAAACAAGAAACCGGTAAGGATGACTGGGGCTGGCTACTGAAGGGCTCTGTGGGAACTCAGGCGCAGGTTAGGGAAGATGTTAGTGGGGATCCTATAGGAGAAGAGGAGTAACTAGCAGGAGCAGAGGTAAATAAAAGCACTAATCTAAAGTATTTATATAGGCCCTGTGATAGAGTGCTGGGAAGCAGCACTTGAGGCAGCCCTCTGGTGATTGCAACCACAAGTAGTTGCTCTGGAGTAGCCCTGATTAGGAAGAGCTGTGCCTAATTGGTGGATTGGGATGGGCTGAGGAGAGCCCCAAAGGCTAATTAGTGCATTACGGGAGAGGTAAAGAAGGCACAGGAAGGACAGGAGAGAGTGACAGGCTTCTCAGGGAAAGAAGAGATTGCTCAGGGGAAGAGACCCTCTGTCTTTCCCTCTCCTTGGCTGGGTGAGCTAAGGATTGTATGTTATGATAACTACACAGCTGCAAAGGTTTGCAAAGGCAGTGGGAAAGAACAGTGTAAATAAACTGCACAAAGCGTTTCATCAGAAGCAGGTCTCTGAGTGGTTTGTGGCTAGAAAAGAGACAGGAGCAGGACAAGGCCCTGTCACAGCCTCCCCCGGCCCTGCATCACTGTCATGTCTGACCTCACAATCTTTGATGTATTTATCCTCTCAATCCCTCCCCCCCGTGAGGCAGGGCAGTGCATGTGACAGATCCAGCAATTTCCTGCAGTATCCTTGAAAAACCTTATTGTATTGAGTTTAAATCTCTTTGGAGTCCATTGTATTAAATGCAAGGCTTATGTTAGGGTTACCATATTTTAATATTCCAAAAAGAGGACACTCCACGGCCCCCCAACTCCGCCCCTTCCCACCCCAACTCCACCCCTTCCCCTGAACGCTCCGCCCCCTGCTCCTCCCCCTCCCCTGCTTCCCGCGAATCAAATGTTCGCGTGAAGCCTGAAACAGGCAGGCAGTCAGCAGATAAGCTGGGGCTGGGGCTGGGATAGGGGTGAGGGCGGGGGGAGTGCGAGGAGGCACGGCCCAGTCCGGCCCCCGAGGCCGAGCGGCTCCCTCCGGCGGCCAGCCCTGGCCAAGAGGGTCTGGCCCTAGTGTCTCCGGCCCGGCTCGGCTCGGGCCCTGGGGCGCTGGCCCCGGTTCCGGCCGAGCAGCGCCGGCCGGCAGCCAAGCACCCCCAGCCCCGGTCCCAGTGGCTCCGGCCCGGCTCGGGCCCCAGTTCCAACCGAGCGGCTCCGGCCCGCCCCGACCCCGGCGGCTCCGGCCCTAGCAACTCCAGCTCAGCTCGGGCCCCGGGGCACCAGCCCCGGCCCCGGCCAAGCGGCTCTGGCCCCAACCCCAGCCCCAGCCCCAGCCAAGCACCCCCAGCCCCAGTCCCAGCGGCTCCGGCCCGGCTTGGGCTCCAGTTCTGACCGAGTGGCTACAGCCTGGCCCCGGCCGAGCAGCGCCGGCAGGCGGCCAAGCACCCCCAGCCCCAGTCTCAGCAGCTCCGGCCCGGCTCGGCTTGGGCCCCGGTTCCGGCTGAGCGGCTCCAGCCCGGCCCCAGCGGCTCCAGCCCGGACCCAAGCCCCACGACCCCTCCCTATTTTCCCAGACATGTCCGGCTTTTTGGAATTTCCTCCCGGATGGGGATTTGAGGACCAAAAAGCCGGACATGTCTGGGAAAATCCGGACATATGGTAACCCTACTTATGTATTATTGTTAAGACCCCGATTATGTCACAGAGGTCACGGGATCCATGACTTCCATTGACCTCTGTGACATTTTCTGCCCCGGGGCTGGAGCTCCCAGCTCCCACCCTGGCAGGGGGGCCCTCTGCAGCTGCCCAGCCACAGGGGATGGCGGGGGGACGCCCTGGAACTCCCAGCCACCATGGCAGGTGAGAGGACCCTGCAGCAGCCCATCCCCTGTGGGCGGTGGGGGACCCCAGAGCTCCCACTTGCTGCAGGTGGCGGGGAACCCCCCAGAGCTCCCTGTTGCTGGGCAGCACCCACCACCCACATCCCACCCCGAGCTGCTCAGACACCACGCAGGTGGGATCCTGGAGTTCCCACTCACCGCAGTGGCAGGGGGACCTTGGAGCCCCAGCAGCAATGGGTGCTGAGCTGAACCCGCCTCCCCATTTTGTCAGGGATATTTTTAGTGACAGTCAGGGACAGGTCACAGGCTTCCGTGAATTTCTGTTTATAGACCGTGACCTGTCCATGATTTTTACTAAAAATATCCCTGGCAAAATCTTAGCATTAATTATTGTGGGCTGGGATTGCATGTAACTTCTAGTAGGGAGATGGGATGGGAATCCTAGGCCATGTTATGAACTTCAAAGGACTATAGTGAACAATGTGCCAGACAAGGATGGAACAAACCGTATCAAATTCCCACCTCCAGTCATTCAAAAAACCCAGGCTTTTGAAGCTCCACCCTAAAGAGGAGACGACTGTCTGCTTTTCATCTGGTCCTGGAATCTGAAGATCAAAGGCACCAGTTCATAACAGCCTTAGCTCTGAACTTGTAGCCAGAGAAAACCCCTCGGTGGGCTCTCAATGACTGACTTCTGCCAAAGCCTTTGATGGAATTGGGGTGATCTCTGGTAAACTTAAGCTTATTAGAATGTGCGCAGGTTCTTTGATTGATTTTTAATATTTTCTTTGTAATGCTTTCACCTTAAGAATACATGTGCTTGCTTAAAAAGGGCTGTGTGATAACTTGTAACTGCTAGCAACTGAAGCTGTTCATAGCCTCTGGAGAGAAAGCAAAGCTCCGACGCTGGCTGTTTAGGCAGTCCATTGCAGTATAGGCCGGGAATGGTGCAGCCTGGAAAAAACCTGGTCAGTAGGGAGAGAGATGTGGGCCTCTAGCTGAGAGATGTGATGGCTGAGGAGTCAGTAGCCATGGGGGGGATATCCTTGCTGGACCACGGAGGGGGGAGTACAGGTGCATATGCCCTGAAGTGTGCCAGTGCTATTAGCCTCATTTTACAGATGGGAAACTGAGGCACGTAACGGGTAAGTGACGTGCCAAGGTCATACAGGAAGCCTGTGGCACAGCAGGGAATTGAATAAGGGCTCCCATGTCCCAGGCTAGCACCATAACCCCTGGACTATCCTTCCTCTCCAATAAAATAAATTGGAAACAGGAAAAGGCTTAAACAAGCCCCTTTAATTGGGTCTGAAATAGACAAGTTGTACGCTAGCTATTTTGTGTTACTGCATTGTCTTGTGATGGTCTCCCTTGTCAGAGTTATTCCCCTCCCCACACCTGCCCGCCTGCTTTCCCTCCTTTTGTTTGTTACACCTCCTCAGTGCATCTTGTCTTCCACCTATGTCCTTGGGGGCTGGGACTATCTCGTGTTGTGTGGCCCCAATCCAAAGTCTATGGGAGTTCATGGAAAGAATACTATTGATTTCAATGGGGGTTTGGATCATACTGTGCATCTGTACAGCACCCAGTGCTTAATCCTATTTGGGGCCCTATATCTGACCCTAATACAAAGGACACACAATCACAATCCTCTTCTCCTTCATACATACGTTGCCTTCATCGTCCACCACCTGGATCTGCCCAGAGTCACAAAGCTTGACCACGGCTCCGATGGGAACGTCGAATTCCCGACCGGTTTTGAGGTCCATCCATACATAATCCCCCTGAAACAAAACAGAGGAAAAGCATGTTCTCAGTAAAGATGAGCAGAAGAACACAGCACTGCAGGGAGGACTAAACGTTCCCGGTTAGAGTAATTTCTAAATGTTTTACTTCCAAACATGGGTGTGAGAACAAGCGACCTCCTTTGCAGTCCATACAGTACCCAACTTCTACGTAGTGCTTTTCATCAGTAGACCTCAGAGCACTTTACAAAGGAGGGTAAAGTATCATTGTCACCATTTTACAGATGTGGAAACTGAGGCACAGGGGGAATTGACTTGCCAGCAGGCCAGTGCAGAGCTGGGAATAAAGCTCTAGTCTCCTGAGTCCCAGTCCAGTGCTCTACCCACTAGGTTACACTGCTACCCCTTCCTCATAGGCGGGTAATAAGGCTATTGTGAGGCAACTACGCCTTAGCACTACAATATATGCTACCTATTTCATCCATTTTTGGCAAACTGACCTGCTGCTAATCAGACAACTACTCATGGGAAACCATTTCACACTGTAAAATCTAGTCTGCCCCCTTTTTAATACATTTTAAAACAACATCACAAGCAGAGGGTGGTTATGGGAGGGACATTAAAAGTAAACCAACAAGAGACACAGGTTCAGTCTGACTTGAACCCAAAAGCCTCCCCCACCAGAATCAAATGCACTGACAAATGGTCCCCATCAGCAAGTCGTGCACGTTCAGTACTGCCTGAGCCAGTGCAAAAAGATTAACAGAGGGGTTGGAGCAAACATGGCCTTTCCTCTGTGCAGCGGGTAGGTCTGAATCTGCACAGGGGCCCAGGGAAAGACGCTGAGGGCCCGAATCTTCCGCTGTGCCCGTTCTCACATAACAGTAGGCAGGAGACAGGGGAAAGATTGTTTATTTTGCCGCTGGGCAGTGAATGTCTTTGGCTGGAGGTGCGGGGAACTGTGCTCACATTGCAGGATTTTACTATTCAATTGAATTGTAATTGCTGCAAGCGTTACAGAGAGACCATACCTGCGGATGCATGTGTCACACCCATCTCTAGTCCAACGTATAGCTGACACTGAAGGGAACCTGGAATGGAGGGCAGTGCCAGTGTATTGTTTGCAGACAACAGGTTGTTATCTCTGCATGTGCAGCAGTCTGACTTCTGCTTCCAGTTCACTCTCACCTCCTTCACAGAACAGCTTATTCTCAGTCCAAGCAAAAGTGACTCCAAACGCAAGCATGGCACTGTGACTAGAAAGCAGGCTTTCGACATCTCACTCTGCATTCCCCACCGCACTCAATGGGAATTTGGCCTAAGGACTGTCAGATCAGGCCACTAATGTGACCCCACATTTCCTACACGGGTTTTAAATTACTCCTGGGCCCGAGATGTTCACCATTGTCCTCAAAGAGGGAAGAACCAACCTTCAATGAAAACATGACATTCTTTCCTGCCGCTAAACCTGATCCTGGGAGGTGCTAAGCCTCCTCCAATTCCACTGCCGGCAAAGGGAGTTAAGGGCCCTCTGCCCTTTCTGCAGCCATTTCTTACATAGCCAACTAACAAGGAAAATAGAACATCGCTAAACATGCATCACTCTTGTCATCTACTCAATGGGACTGGAGAGGATGATTAACCCTTTGAGGGTCATATGGTCCATACAGGGGGCTGGACTAGATGACCTCTTGAGGTACCTTCCAGCAGGGCTGCCCAGAAGGGGGGGCAAGTGGGGCAATTTGCCCCAGGTCCCGGGCCCTGCAGGGGCCCCGCGAGCCCTGGCCGAGAATCCCTTCCCTGGCTAGAGGCGCCTTTTTAATTTTTACTCACCCAGCGGCGGTCCGGGTCTTCAGCGGCACTTCGGCAGCGAGCCCTTCACTCGCTCCGGGTCTTTGGCGGCACTTCGGCAGCGGGTCCTTCAGTGCTGCCGAAGATGTGGAGCGAGAGAAGGACCCGCTGCCGCTGCCATCGAAGACTCGGAGCACCGCCTGGTGAGTACAAGCGCCGCAGCGGGTGGTGCCTTTTTTATGTCCGCTCCCCCGCTTTGCCTCAGGCCCCCTGAATCCTCTGGGCAGCCCTGTCTTCCAGCCCTACATTTCTTTGATTCAATGAAACCTACGTCCAGAAATTGACTTAGGCGATGCACTGTACCTCAGTGGTTCCCAGCCATTTGAAGGTGGAACCTCCACCTTTTGCAACAGATTGCTAGATGGCTGTCCCCCAGGCCTTGAGCCAATTGCTACCATCGCTTCTTTCCTCTTCTCATTTCTTCCAGCCCTTTCTCTCTCTCTCTCTCTCTCTTCCTCTTCATCCCTAGGATCTTGTTTTTTTCTGTTCTATGTATGTTTTTCCTTTCTATTTTTAATGAGATTTTATATTTAAGCTCCCGCAAGCCACCAGACAGCTACAGACTGTCCAGGCTGGGGATTGTCCATCCGCGAATCTAGGCGGAACTGCATGCACTCTTGCTGCTAAGCAGAGCGGTGTGACTAGTGGGAGTCAGCAAGTTGTTGTTTGCACTGCTGTCTCTGCTACCCTGGGAGCTACTGCAGCAGCATCAGGGAGGGAAGGCAACGACTTCAATGTGTCACCCAATCCACAGCACAGTAATGCTTTTGAGATGGGGATCCCGGATCCCGCAGCTTTCTCCACTCCCAATACTTCTCCGCTCTGCACCCAACTCTTGCCAACCCCGAGTGTTCCAAAATCATGAGTCAGGCCACAAAAAACCATGAGATTTTTTTTCAAATTAATAAATGTTAGACTCGTCTTCTTGGCCTTATGGTTTCTGAGCCCTTAGGGTGAACTTGCTTCACCCTTTTGCTCTGTTCTCCTCAGCCAGGCAGGCAGGCTAGAAGTGTGCTTGTTTCTAAACGAACCTGAGGTTCTCAGGTAATCTCTTGCTTCCAGCAGCCACGGCCTTCAGAGAAACCACAAATATTTCAGGACTTACGATAAGATGGTGAGAGTTGGCAACACCGGTATCCCTACTGTGCTAGCTTATTATATTAGCACACAATCAGGCACTGTAATATGCTGCCTTTTGCCTAAATACTGACTGTTAAAGTCATCATTCAGGCCAGTAACTTACGCAAACTCTCACTGTTTTCAGGGAGCTTTTTCCAGAGCAAGGTTTGAAAATTCTAGGCCAGCTCTGGCAATGGCAACCTTATTGTTTAGTACCATCGCCTGGTAGTATCCCTGGATTATACAGCCAGATGCATCTAGAATGTTGGCAAGTTATAATTAAAATACACTATCTTGTTATTAAATAGTCAACTTCTTTAAACAGCTACCCATAGCTACCAAGTTTTGTGCAGCTCCACGAATAGCATTTATGCACATTAATTATTGAGCAAATTTCCTTATTTACATCTGATTTGCATATATATGTATATTTCAGCTTTTTTTTAAATATAGGTGTGACGGGTTGGACCCCCCTTCTGGGATAGCACCTGATGTGCTGGGGTTTCACTGAGCCTCCCCTGCTCACTCAGCCTGGGTTCCCTCTTACTGCTTTGCTGGATTAAGCTCTCCGGCCTCTTGCAGCGCACGCACACAGGTAGGGCCACACCCCGCTGCAGTTACAGACTGAAGTCAGCTCCCCTAGCACTCACATGCCCCCCCACAGTGGGGTACAAACCCAAAGGTTTTATGAAATTCGCCCCCTCCCTCAATGTGGAGGGAGATATGCACAACTTCTTCCCCCCCCCCCGTTACGAAATTACATAAACTGGGTTATATTATAAACAAGAAATAAGTTTATTAACTACGAAAGGTGAATTTAAGAGAATATAAGAGATAACAGACAGAACAAAGCAGATTACTGACAAAATAAAGCAAAATACGCAAGCTAAGCTCAATATACTTAAGAACAGGTTACAAAAATGCAAATTCTTACCCTAAATGTTATTTTGGGCAGGTTGCAAAGTTTCTGTGGTTCAGAGTTCCAGTTATATTCCTTTTCAGACTGAACCCCTGTCTTAGTCTGGACTCCCCCCTTGCCTTCCCTTCAGGTGGCTTTAGCAGTCTTTCTTCTTGAGCAGACAGGCCATGGAGAGGAAGAGTGCCGTTTGCCTTCCTCCCCACCCTTAAATAGGATTTACATAAGGTGGGAATCTTTTGTTTCCCAAACTTGACCCCCCCGTCCCGTCCAGCGGAAAGTTACAAGAAGTCCCAGGTAATGTTTAGTATCAGGTGACAAGACCACCTGACTAGTAGTGTCAGAGTTATGTCCCCGGATGCCTCCCAGGAGGGAGAGAGATTAGTATCTTCATGGTTTTGTTGTTCCTTCCTGATGGCTCATCACATTTGATGGCCTGTCATCTGGTGGGTGTCTTCCCACTACGCACCCAGTTGTAATTGTTACATAGTCCATATTTCTAACTTTAGATACAGAAATGATACAGGCATATATATTGGATAATCACATTCAGTAAATTATAACCTTTCCAGTGATACAAGACCCATCTTGCACAAAGTATATCTCAGTTATGTCGTATTCAGACCATAAGCATATTTTCATAAAGACTATGGAGTGAAAAGTTACAGTATGGATTTAGAGCTTGTGAAAGGCTTCATCCAAGATTGACAGACCTGGTGATGAAGCCCCAGGCAAGTTTCCCTACACACACTGCCCTGTCAGCATGCCACACTCTTGATCTGGGATGGAGACTTCCTCAGCAGGGGGAGCCAGAGCCTGGGGATTGTTGAAAGTTTCCCCTACTCTTCCCCTCCCCTCACCAGCCTTCCCTATTCTGCCATTTTCCAGACCCTGCCCCCTTCTCAGCTCCCCTATTTGGCTTCTCATATTCTTGCTTTGCCCTTTCTATTAGCAGAGGCCTTCTCCTAGGGCTCTGTGCTGCTCTGGCACCAGCAGGGGGACTAGTGAGAGCAAAGACAGACCTGGCTGTCTACAGAGGAGGTCCCACATCGCCTCCAATGGCTGAGAGATACTGCTACAACTCCTGCTCTCAAACCAGCTGGGTGCTCAACTGGGTTGTGCGAATGTGTGACAGAGCCCCCAAATGCAAGAGTGTCTTAGCACTGACGATATTGCCTAATACATAAACGGCTCTTTACAGTCTTGTATTTTACATTGCAGTGACAGCAACTGGATTGTTACTAAAGACAATTTCGTGCATTCAGCCTCTTTGTTACACAGGGTGAGGAACACAGCAAATGGGTGGATGTAGCCACTCAAATTCAGTGGGCGTCGATGAACGTTGGCTGCGATTCCCTGTAACTTTTTGAAAAGTTAGGCTCAGATTCTCAGCTGGTGTCAATCAGTAAAGCAGTATTGAATTAATAATAATAACAACAATAATATTTGTTTACTGTTGCAAAGTGCTTTGAGATCCTCTAATGAAAGGTGTTATATGAATCAGCAAACCAATTGATGTCTCTGAAAGCATTCCAGTTTATATCAACGGAAGCTCTGGCTGTTACTGTTTAAAAAAAGAATCTTATAATGTGGCTCAAAATGTCTTCAGCAGTACCTGATAAATAAGGAAAATAATTTTATGTTTAGAGAATCAAAAATAGATACCTTATCTTTAGAACCAATAGAAAAATTGGTAGAAGAGGAAAGAAAAAAGATATGGGTAAAGTAAGTGACAAATTGTTCAATCATATATCAGTTTAAATTGTATACTTTAGCACTTATATAACTTCTTTAAGTGGAGGAGCTCAAAGCATTTTACAATAGTTGACAGTATTATCCTCATTTTATAGTTGATCAAACCAGAGTGGACAGAACCCAGATCTCCTATTCTAAGCCCCTAATTGCCAGAGAATACTCAAAAGTACAATAAAAATTACATTACACCTCCCAAAGAAAATATTTTATACCTGTGTTCCGGTGGTCAGTACTAAGCAGCCAAGTTTCGTGGCCCATTATGTCACCAGACACAAATACATAGCCCAATATCAGGAAGTATAGTTGATACTTCTCTTCTGCTGTATGCCACTGTACTACAGTAGCAACAACAAATAAATAAATGATTTGACTAGCTAACATACTGGATATTAATTTTCTCGAAATGCCCTGTACATACAAATTAAAATTACATTTGTTAATACTGGCCAAAAAGGCAATTGTGATGGCCTGGACTAACTCAACTAGACCCACCATATGCCTATTTCCTGCTTGGAAAGAGCTTGATGCAAAGCCCACAGAAGTCACTAGGAGCCTTTGCACTGACTTCAGTGGGCTCTGGATCAGGTCCAATAGGAACAAAACCATCAGCACAGGACATTTCATGGTGATTGGCGCTGGGCCATTAAACAGCTCAATTAAACTGGTCAATAATCCTCATGAAATGTCCTGCATCTTGGCAGTTTGGGGTTAATTCAAGATGTCGGGCGCAGCACCACAGAACCAAGAACACTTTCAATCATTTCATAAATAGCCATATCTGAACCAACCAGTAGCAGCCACCATGCTAGGCACGTTCCAAACCCTCCAGACCCTGCCCCCAGGAGCTCACAATCTCAGGACAGAGGCGAGGGGAGGGGGAACAACAGGCAATTTATACACCAGTCAACTCGATTCACTGTAATGAGCACAAAGGAGGTGGTGCAGGTGCAACTGTGTGAGAAGCTGGCACACGCATTCTACAGGATCAAACTGTAATGTGATCTAGATTTCAAAGGAGTCTGAAAGCCATTGTCAGCGTTTAGAGCCAGTGGCCCTTATCTTACCGATAAAAGAGTCAGGGGTTTCAAGGCTTGGTTGACATTCCGGAGCAGCGTCCATTTGCCCTGGTCCTTCTCTTCAGCCTCCGCCGCATTGGGGCATTGCTGCATGTTGATGGCTTTTGCCTCTTTAGCATTCTAGAGAGGCTACTGCACTATATGGACCTCTTCCCTGGTTCCTACACATACTCCACTAGCTGGCACGGAATCGTCAAAGATACCAGCTGGTTTGCTTTATGCTTCCTGTTGCAGAACAATGATCACAAGCACTCACTTCTGCTGCAAGGCACCGTTTGTCTTGAGTCACAGTGTGGTTCTTGGAAAAGATTTTCTCCTAACAGGAGAGTTTCCATAGAAGAGCTTAAGGAAAGCTTTAGCTTTCTGGAATATGCTAGAGCTATCCCCTATCACTTTGCATTGTGGGAATCTATCTACTGAGCAGACAATTGTGCGTTTCTCCACTTACAGTCCTCCCAGCGTCTCCAGTAATGGGTGATCTTTGGTAGTAGATGAAAAGGAAACTGCAACCAGCAATTCGGACTTGAGGCCTCCTGAAAATGTCACTGTAAAATTCAAGGCAAAACTCTTTATTTCACCATGACTTCTTTCCTTTCCCTTCCTTTCTCAGTGAAATAACTTGTCAGCCGCTTGATGTCTGTCAGGTCTGAGACGCTGAATACTCTTGGATACTTATTAATCCACAAGTGTAGTCGTCCCCATGTAACACATGGCTTTTAATTAACCTAATGCCTTGCAACTCCAAATTAACCAAAGCGCAGTGGGAACCCAAAACCAAAGGCCATCTGGATTTTCTTTAAACTGATCACCCACAGTAGTTCCATAGCAACTGGATTTTAAATAATTGAGTGGGAGGTGGTCTGAGACACACTACTTGCATAGCTTTATGGGATAACTCAGGCTAAGCTATAGATTGAAATTACCTGCAAGTGTGAATAACAACAACATAATTACAGTATGCTTTGCTTTTCTAGGGCCCCATCCTGCAAGCCTTGCCCATGTGAGTAGTCCAGGGAACTGCTCTCATAAGGACTATTTGTATGAGTAAGGGTTGCAGGTTTGGACCCCAATCGCACTGCTCATCTGAGGACCCCAACTCACTGCATAAACATGAAATATGATTGCCTGGGATTAAAGTCCCTAGGGACCAAAGTCAGCGGAGTGCATTGTATTCCAGCTCCATCTTCATCAGCTCCTGCTACACACCTTAGAACACCTCCCCTCCCCCCAACCTCCAGGTGACCAGCTCAGGATTCCCCCCCACCTGGGAAATCATCACTTGCCCATTGAAGGCAACGTAAGGTCATTTTGCACCACTAAGGCTTGTCTAGACAAACAGTCAGTGCAGAGCAAGCCGGAGTGTACATCTACAGCGCACTAGCCTGCCACACACTGCATCCGCATGGGCCCTGCTCCTGTGAACACTTTCACCTACTCTGCTTTGAAATGGGAGCAGGTCAGTGCTCACTAGGGAACTTTTAGTGTGCGGTAGCAGGTCCACACGGACAGTCAGTGCGCAGCAGGCTAGTGTGCTGTGGATTTACACCCCAGCATGCCGCACACTAACTGTTTGTCTAAGGAAGCACTAAGTGACTCTAGCTAGGAGTAGGATCTGATCCCTAGTCCCTGCCATGGGGAGATCAGAATCTAATTAGACAGTGAGAGTACAGACCAGACCTATTATGCAGCATACAAAGACCCAAGCATAGGGACAAAACTCTACATCCTTACTCAGTGATTATCCTTCCTTAGCCAAAGCTTCCACTGACATCATGATTCCACTGACTTCCCATTCGGCCTGTGGGGCAGAGGAGAGTTACACTTACCCCATGTAACACCTGTCATCGGAGCATATCAAGGCAAGTTATGCTCATTAACAAATCATCCCTCACACCATGCCTGTGAAGTAGGTGCTCTTAGATCTATTTTACAGAAGAATAAACTGAGGCACGGAGAAGAAACATGATTTGTCCAAGATCACTCACAGAGTCAGTGGCAAAGTCAGGAATAGACCCCAGGACTTTTGAACCCAGTCCCTTTGATCTAATCACTAGCCTATTCTGTCTCTCCCTTTGGATGAAGGTGAAATGGACCCAGAAATGTCACCCCTCTCCACCTCTTTCCCAATCACCTTCTAACTTGGTCCACTGCAGTTTATTGCAGTGCATGTAGTTCTTAGCTGGGGATGAGCCTTCACGGCTTTCTTTTCTTATCTGTGCTGGGTTGCAGCTTCTCACTTAAATATAATCTCTGCACTTTGTAACAGCAGAATTTTTCAGAGCTATAAACCCAGGCAATAAGAGGAACCTTTGCATTTCTAGCTGAAAGGCTGAGGAGCTGCTCCTCTTCCCTTCTATGCATGTCTACACTCTTTGTCCTTCTGGGGGAAGAGGACTAGACTGGACTTCTTTGGAGACCATCACACATCTCAATCAGCCAGAGGCACTTGTATCTGAGTCATAGGACACACTTCTTTCCCTTAGCAGCAGCTTGAGTGCATTGCCTCTGCGACAATCCCATCCAACTGAGCCTGGAAATTAAGCCCCTATCTCCAGCCTCAAGGTATAGAGCAATACCATGGAGCCACCGGATGGACCTATACCGCTCCTCTTAAAGGAACGTGCTACGTGTAGAGTGGGCAATACAGGAATACACCTAGGGGAATAAGGGAACAAAGGGAATGGAGTCAGTCAGCATCGCCACCCGTTTTATATTACAGCTCATTGTGGTAACACTAGACCCACTGACACAGAAATAGATGTGTGTGCGGGAAGGCCACTGAACACCGCAGATATTATTTATTATCTCTATTTCAGTAGCATCTAGAGGTCCCTGGTGTGGTAGGTGCTGAACATATACATATTGCATACACACCGCAAGAGACGGTATCGGACCCAAAGAAATGACACTGTACATCAGTGGTGGGCAACCTGCAGTGCCTAGTTCCCATTGTAATTCTCCCAGTGGGAATTAGGCACCTAACCTACTTAGGCACTTCTGTAAACGCCTATCTGCTATGTTTAGCTGTTCTTTATTATTCGTTCCAGGCCTTGCTGCTGCAGTGAATGGTGAGAACAACTGTCCCCTTTAGGCCATTGCTCTTCCTGTCCTTTATTTCTCTTCCTTCCCCATCCTCCTTTCTCCGTTTCTCTCCCTCTTCCTGCTCTGTCCATTTCTCTGCATTTCCTTCCTTGCAGCAACGCCCAGAGGGCTGCACTCCCAGCCCCTTCCCCGGTCCATCCACTAGAATGGACACTGACATGCCATTTAAAATTATTACTCCAATCAGAGTAACGCTGAAAGGGTTGTGCACACTCGGAGTCATTGTCTCAGGCTGTCTGCAGACTCAGGTAGGTGTCACTGCATCGGTTATAGTCGGTTTGTGTCTGGAAGGTTCTCGCCAGGCAGGCTAGATTTCTGACACTCCTGATGAAGAAAACAACATTCCTGAAAATCTTTTTTTAAAGCATTATTGCAATTGGGGGGTGGATGCAAATGTTTTACGTGCATCCTCTTGGCTTCAGCCCAGCTACAGGATCGGAGGTTTATGTTGAAAGCTACAATTTAAATCTTCAGTTCTGGACGTGCAGACCATGCAATGCACTTTCAGATCTTGTTGCCATGAAGACACCAGCCACTTTATGTGCTGCTGTCAACACACAATCACACATTGGCATTTTGCTGGAATTCACTGGGGCATATACAGTCCATGCATGTAGGCCACAGACACAATTACTATCTAAGGGCTGGTCTCCACTACAAACAGCTTAATGAAGTCGCTCAGGACTCTGAAAAATTTCACACCTTGTGCGATGTAATTAAGTCGAGCTAAGCCCAAGTGTAGACCTGCTAGGTTGATGGAAGAATTCTTGTGTCAAACTAACTACCACCTCTAAGGCCTGGTCTACACTGTGCGGTGGGGAATCGATCTAAGATATGCAACTTCAGGTACGAGAATAGCGTAGCTGAAGTCGACGTATCTTAGATCGACTTAGAATCACTTACTTCGCGTCCTTGCGGCGCGGGATCGATGGCCGCCGCTCCCCCGTCGACTCCACTTCTGCCTCTCGCCGAGCTGGAGTTCAGCAATCGACGGGAGAGCAATCGGGGATCGATTTATCGCGTCTACACTACACGCGATAAATCGATCCCCGATAGATCGATCGCTACCTGCCCATCCGGCGGGTAGCATAGACGTACCCTTCAGAGAGGTGGATCTACTACAGCAATGGAAGAAGGCCTTTCACCACTGTAGGAAATATCTCCCCTACAGTGCTACAGCAGCGCAGCTGCAGCCCCGCAGTGTTTCTAGCATAGACATACCCTACATCACACGCCTGGCTAGAGCGCTAGGGCCAGAACCCTGGTCCTTCATTTCCCAAAGCAAAGATTTTCACTGCCTGTCCGAAAGCAGAACTTTCTTCATTGATCGTGGAAGCACGTTCCTCGTGTGCCCTATGGGAACATGGCAAGGGAAACATGAACAATGGAAAACATGACACACAGACAGATCAAACCCATGGCAATGCTACTCACAGAGCAGCTTGCCATTCAAACCCCTGCTTGCACACAGGTGCAGCATCATTCACCCCTTAGACTGCTGGAGAAGCATAAAATACATATATCATTGAACTTACATCACTGCTATTAAATGCAGCGAAGGTCCAATTCTCCTCATTTACATTAGTATATGTCCACTGACTTTAACGGAGTTACTCCTGATTTACCCCTGAGAGGAAAATCAGGACTGGGTATCACTATTCTACATGCCCATCTTTAGCTGCACCACTGCTATTAGTCCATGGGAAATGTGGGGGGAAAGCCTTGAGTTTTGACTGGACAAGATGGCACCCTATGCCAAGGAATTGCACATTAATAATCAGTGACCCCAATAGGGAGCTGACACCAAAAGAATTCTGCTGGTCCCATTTCATGAATAAATGAGATGCTCTTCCTGATTTCTGATGGCATCTCAGACACCAGCTGTAAGCCAAGGTACTGTGCTACAGGAAAGTGCTGTCAGAAACAGAGGGATGGCGGCAAAGGGACCGTTAAATAATTCAATAATCAATGCACTGTTAGTTCATCCTGTAACTTTGATACCTGAGCAACTGCTGAAAGGGGAAAGCAAAAAGCCATGCACAAGTTTAGAGATTTCTCCCTTGGCGAAAAGGTACAATCACTACTGTGGGGAACCGAAATAATGATCAGGATCTCTCCCGGATGGAGCAGAGTTGGGCGGGGGGGGGGGCGCTAATTCGGCCTCCCGTAAGCAGGTTCAACTCCCATTCAGCTCTGAATTTAGTCCCAGATCTATTCACAGGAGCTTATTGTTGACTGCTTTGGATTTTGGGACTCAGTTGCTGACTTTGTATGCTAGGAGTACAGAAGTATGCTGCGACTGATCAGTTAATTCGCCCACAACTCCTATTGGGTGGAGAGCAGAATTACTGAACGATTGAATCCTGGAAAGCCCCGTGTCTTTATAAGCAGATTAAGCAGGTTTCACAGTGGCATCTCCAACCAAGGCAACCATGATGCCCAAGTATGTTCATTAAGTCCAGCACAAAAGGTAGATGGATCTGGGATCGACGGTTAGGGCTGATCAGTGCAAAGGTGGAACAGGAAATTAGGAGATGAAACTAATTAGCCACAGCCCTGAATAAAAATGG